GGGTCTTTTATAAAACCAAAAAGGGTTTATGTCGATTTAAAAATCACTTTTTTTATCAATAAGTCCGGATATTACCGTACACTTTCGGTCTTGGTATTTAAGACTACACATCACTCAGGATATAGAACTACATACACACATTAAAAAAAATATTGGATTTTCTGAATACATATTCTATAGCTTTTACAAGGAAAACGTTTTACTTCTCTAAAGAAATCTTTTATGAACTCACCAACCCTCGTGTTGACACTTTTTCAAACAACTTGTATTCTCAGGGAATCACTAAACAGGTAACCAAGTGCTTTTGAGGATGGGATGTTAAGGCGTCACACTTTTCATATTTTGTCAACATATTGTAATTGATTTTGAAACATGTAATTAATACAGTGATGTAACTTCTTCAATTATATATATGTTGGTTGTGTTTGCTTAAATCACTATTGCATTTGTTGTTATGATACTATACATGAAGTCCTCCACCCCCGGACGTTTCCGCCATCCTTGGTTTGGGGGTGTGACACTCCTACTACCACTAACACATAAAACACATCATGCCAGCATATAAACATATCATCACATACTGTCAGACATATATGGGGTGTCTGACCTACCCTTCGGTCCTAACAACCGAACTCCACTACTATCACATATAACATATTATGCCAACATATAACATATTAGGTAGTAGCAAACCCAAATGATATCACAAAGACAATCATCTAACATACAACTCCTACTGGTGGGCCGGCATTGTGGCCGTAGACCCACCGCTACTGGAAGGTAACTTACCTCACACTGCTGAAGTCCCGAAGACACAATCCCACACTTGCTGAAGTGCCGCAAACTCGACCCCAGCTGCTGGCTGACAGATTCCCGAACTGTCAACACCAAAATAACACCCAATTAATAATTGGGTCCCAATATATAACCATAAGTACATTCTTCGGGTAATTAGTACATTACCCCTAGCTTGGCTTATTCAAGCCCAAAGCCCAATCCATAGGCCCAAAGTCAATTAGCAATCAAAGCCCAACACATGGCCCAATTTTCCAAATTGGGCCTAGGCCTATACATGGTCTCATTCTAAGGCCCAACATCATATAATCATTAAGGCCCAAACTATGGCCCAATTTTACAAATTGGGCCCAAGCCCCTTACATGGGCCTTACCCTAGGCCCATTAAATTATTCGAGTTCAATTGCTTGCTCTTGGATGGTCCATTATTATCTCAGTCATTTAGGCCCAATAATAAACCCAAGCGAAATTAGGGTTTCACATAAATGGCGATTAGGGTTAAGTTTCCTACTTAACCCATTAAGGACTTAATCCTCTAAGGACTTAATCAATTAAGTCCAATATTGCTTGGATTAATTTTTGTCAATGATTATTATTTATTATCTCAAGTTATTAAATAATTCCCCGCGTGTCCCGATTACTTCCCAAATTAGGGTTTTGATGGCATTAGAGTTTTCCAAACCAAATATTAGCCCATTTATCAATTTGTTAGGCTTTTAGGTCCATTAGGGCTTTATTGGGCCTATTAAGCCTACTAAAATATTATTAAGCCCATTAGGGTTTTATTAGGTCCATTAGAGTCCATTAAGCTTCATTAGGCCCATTTGAGTTTCTTTGGGCCCATTAGGGTTTCAAGCACCCCAAACTAATCAACACCACAAGACAAAGCACATCGCCACCCGACACGACGGCTGGTGGCGGCAGCCACCAGCCTAAGGTGGTGGTTTCCAATTTCTTTTGTTATTTCATTTCCAATTTACAATTACAACCCAAGAAATAAACACACTAAATGGAAATAAACACACACACAACCACCCTATGGTGGCCGGTGGTGGTCGCTTTTCCGGCCAAAAACAAACACCAATTTACAAGGAATCAACAACACCTCGCATAAACACATACTAGGCACCAAAACACGTCCACAGCCACCACCACTCGGCGGCTGGTGGTGAAAGAGGCGGGTAAACACGGTAGGAACCACCATGGATGGCTGCCATGGAGGTGCTCTTGCATTTCGGCGACACACCCATTCCGCGCACACACATACGAGCTTGCAGATGGACCCAACCACCAATTGGTGGTGTAGGATAGCGGCGGGGACACGGGAAGGTAGAGACAGCAGCGATTGCAATGCAACAATGGCGCCATAGGCCGGAGGTAGTGTGGCAACAACATCTCCCCACAGCTGTTTGGAGTGGCGGCGTCGACAACCCTAGCGACACCGTCAACGTGGTTGAAAGCGAACATGAGAAGAAGAAGAGACGAAGCGCATCTGGGCACGACGGCTTATAGCCACGACGATGGTCTTCGGTGTTCCCGTCTCCATTACCAAGCGGACGACAACTGGGCGACGGCGTGGCATTGTGGTGGTTCTTGGTGGCTGGAGAATGAATGAGGTCCATGGCGGCTCGGAATCGGTGGAGATGGGTGGTGCGACGCCGAGGAAGGTGAAGGGGAGTGTATATGAAGTTGGCGGCTGAACAAATGAGACTAGGGTTAGGGTTTCATAACCCTTATATACCGACTCCTCACACTAGTTTGCGATAATGATCCAAATGGTCCTTCCAGCTCCAATTTAATTCAAAATAGATCCATATTTTACATTTCTAACCCTTCCTTCAGAAAACCCTTACGATTCAAGTCCGGATTTTACATTTTTAACCCCCAATCTCTTAAAGTGTGACAATTAGCTCTACGAGACCATCATTTGATATTTAATTATTTATTTTAGGGCTACTATTCGTTCAGTAATTTATTTATTTAACTTAATAAATAAACGGGTGTTATAGATCAAGCACGACAGAGGAAAGAAAAACGGTACCAACGCCGATTAATCCATTGTGTTGATTTGGATGAATGATCTGAATCAGGGAGAAGAAATCTTCGTGAGAAAGTATCTATGTGTGTGTGCTTGACACAAGAGAGATAGAATTTGGGAAAACCAATTTGATTTTTAGGAGTTTAATTTTTAGGATACATTTTTTTCATGTCGATATTACCCATAATGATCCAATTTGATCACATTTGCAAAAACATAATATACCACTAGATTTAGTCATATTTACAACCTATGCCACTAATAATCTAATTTGTTTAGGTTCTCGGGAAATTATGAGTTTTCAAATAATCCTTTCCCTCTTTCTCTCTCTCTCTCGCTCTCTCTCTCTCTCTCTATATATATATATATATATATATATATATAAGAGTTAGAGAATATATGACTGTTATGTACCTAAGCTTAACCCTCCAAACTATGTAGTTTTGATGCATATATATCCAAACTAATCATGATATATCTTTTACTACTATTCCCTATTCATTTGACCTACTAAACCGATTGAATTAGTGTTCATTTTCTTCATTATATCTAAAAGCTTAAAGCATTAAAAGTCATAACTATAAGAACATCTCCAATGGTTACATTATAAATAGGTGTCACATCACTATTTCACTAATCTTGACATAAAATATCAGTCCAATGATTAAGCTTATTTAAATTGCTTTTTTAAAATAAATTTAACTAATTTATTCTTATTTTTCTAAAATGTTTAATAAAGCATTCTCAATTAATTAGTCTATTTTTTTTAACAAAAATAGTTATTTAATACGAGTATATAAATAAAAATATATCAGTTCATTATTTATGAAAATAAAACACGAAAAATTATTATTTTATAGTTACAAAGATTAAACCAAAACATTGAAAATATTATAATAAAAAGATAAATTGAAATATTGCTAAAATAAAAAGGATTATTTGTATAAGTTGTGAAAGTATATTGATCGTTAAATATATATGGAAAAGTTAAAATAAAAAAACAAAAAAACAATATTTTTCAATGATATTAAATGTATAAGTGAATAAGGTTAATATATATATATATATATATATATATATATATATATATATATATATATATATATATATATATATATATATATATATATTCAATGATATTAAACGCTCATTCCTGATCCATTAGTTTAGGTTACCCTCTATCTATTTGTCGGTTTAAAAATAGTGAGTAAGTTATAATTCGTGGAGATGCTTTGAGCTATTTATTGTAAAAATGAGTTATGCCTGGTTCTCGAGTTTTAGCAAAGAAAAAGAAAAGAAAATAAAAAGTAAAGGTGGAGATAAAAGAAGAGAAAGAAAACAAAAATAAATTTGTCTTTTGTGTTTCCAAATCGAAGAGAAGTCAAAGAAAAATTAAGCATTTTGTTCATTCTTTCTAAATCTATGAAAGAAAGTTAAGAAAGAAATTGATCATTTCATTCCCTTAACAATCTACTTCATTCCTGTAATGAAACTCATAACACTAATTTCTTTTACTTTCCTCTCACCAGTGGTAGAATTAGTAATTTTTATATGGGGGTGCAAACATTGCCAATATATTATATGTAGTTATTCAATATCAGACATTAAAAAATATATTATAATATTTTTAGTCGAAGCTACAATAACATGAAACATGTTTATAAATAATATTTTTTATATATAAAAAATAATTTTTTAGGGGTAGTGAAGTACCCCTAATATCCCACCAAGTTCTGCCACTGCCTCTCACTTGCATTAACACCCCGTTCCCGGGTTCAACTTAATAAGAGAAAAGAAAAGAAATGGGTAGAAACAAGAAAAAAAACAAAAAAAAAAACTCGTGTTCCCAAGTTTCATTAAAGAAATAAAATGGAAAAAAATAAAATGATGGCTTTGCCTCCTACCTTTCCTTTCTATCTAGGAGGATTTGAAAGAAAAAAAAAAAAAAAGATAATTAATTTTTCTTCTACTTCTTTCCAATTTAGAAATATAAAATAAAATTTTGTTTTCTTTACTTTGTTTTCTTTTCTTTCTTTTATTTTCCTTTTTCCTTTCATAAACTGGGGAACGGGGTGTAAGTTCCGGACACGGAAAAGTCTGTTTAGCAACTCACTATAAAACATGGAGGACGATTAGGGTTTCAGCAACCATTATCATTATTTGAACAATGAAGAAAATCGTGCAATCACGCAAAAAAGGTGCAGATGCTTCTTTATTCAGTCGTTTACCAGATGAAATCATCCTCCAAATTGTAAACAAATTAATCGACTTGAAAACCCTTTGTTTTTGCTATCTCGTTTCCAAACGTTTCTCCTCGATTGTACTTCAAGTCGATGCCATTTCCTTCACTGCTCCTTTAGACCCTAACATTCCCGACAAGAACACCATCAGTGATGTCGACCCAAGTAGGCCGAATCCGCCTAAACTTTCTTCGTTTTTTGGTGAGTCCTTTCTATCTGCGAATGGGTTTTTGAACACGTTTACAGGGGTGAAGTCCTTATATATCGAATTTCCATCTTTCGGTCATAGAGATATTGATAATAATTGTTTGTTCAAGTGGAAGGTTAAGTTGGGGCACAAAGCTCTATCGTTTATATTTCTATCGCCGAATTCAATTTATGATAAGAATGGATTGTATCTTAATGGAAATGGGGGCGAAGAAGAAGACCTCGAATTACTCAGTGATTTACTTAAGAAGAAGCTTGCCATTTCGTTTCAGTGTCTGCAGGATGTGATAGCGTGGAATGTGATGCTGTTGCACCTCCTTAATAATCTACCAACGTTGGAAAAGGTATCAATTACTGATTCAGGGAGAAGAGGGAGGCTTTCTCTGAGTGGGAAAAAACTCAGAGAGGTGAAGGAATGGGTACATTCAGCTTCGGAAATTGTGTTTGATCGTGTTGAGGTTCCTGATATGGTGAGTAAGTGTTACATTCCTGTTTTGACATTGCCAGTTTCAGGGTATGTGATGAAGGGGGTATTTTGTGCTCTAATGGAGATGAAAGATCTACATGGTGAAAATGATGGACTTTTGGATAGTGAAGATGGTTTTGAAGATAAAGAAGAAGCTGCATATATTGAAGCTATGAAGGAGGTTTTGGAGAAGGATACTGGCATGATGCAGAGGTTTATGTAGTATGAATCAGGTCCATATATACTCTGAACTCAATATTCTTGTAAGGTTTATATCTTAGGTTTTGCTTTTCTACCATACATGTTTACTTAAAGATTACTGTTGAATTCCTCACCCTTCAACATTTCTATAACATAGTTTTTCTTTGACTTTCATTCATCACAACTTCAATATTCTTGCAAAGACTCTTTCTTCTTTGCAAATTGCAATTGAATATCTATAACGTTAGAACTTCTCCTTTATGTCTAGTCAATTAAACAATCACACTTAGTCTCAATGTCTTGTTTTGAAATTAATTAGGAATCAATTTGAGGAAAACCAAAAAAAAAACTTTAGTTTCGAGTATAATGATGCCAAATGCAATAGTACATGGTTAGTACTTACTAATTTACAAAAAATAAGTCACAAATTTGTCTTGACTTGTAAGTTTTTCACATGTATAGCTTTTGAGATTTGTATGTGCTTCTTACCATGAAGCATGAAGCATGAATCATTTGGGTGTATGCTTTTGTTTTGAAGTAATTGTTAGACAGATTTTGAAGACCAAAATCTCTTGTAAGATGCTAAGCTTGGTAAATATGATTATCAAATCCAGAATTTATTTTGGAAGCCATTAGTAAAGTTGTTAGTTTTAGGGAGAAACTTTTAGTCAAGAAAAGTTTAAAATCCTGGAAGTAAGAAATGGAAGTACAAGGTACAATGCTAATAAAATGTGCATTTTAATTAGTAAACATTAACTTTTAGAAGCTAAGGTGTAAAATTCAAATGATAGTGACCAATCACTTACATGAAAAGACATATATGTCATCACCCAAAAAAATAGAAGCTTGCAAGAAAACCATACTACTCTTTGAGCTTAATAATTCATTATATGTGTATGAGCTTTGTAACTCAAGTTATGCGTATATATGAAATGTATTTTCAGGGAATTAAGCAAGCTCAAGTAACAAGTAACATGGGATAATATTTGCTAGAAGATGGAGCGATTCTATAAAAGATATATGGGGTTTATGAAGAGTATATTTCCCATGAAGAGTATATTTCCCTTGAAAGATAACTAACATGTATTAGTGTGTGTGTTGTAAATCTATCTTCATTAGCCATAAAGTCGTCCAGAGATCGAGTTGTTAGCTTGTCCCATGTGCTTTGCACATGAGGGCATTTTGGTCATTTCCCCTTGGTCTTCTCAGGACATCATCTTCTTCACCCAGAACCACACCATTCACCCACGTTTATTCCCTTTGACCTAACCCTTCTCCATCCATCACAATTCCCACCTTCTATCATAAACCCATCTTGATTCCTAATCTCTACTATGATCGGGTATAATTTATCTGCTCGTTTAGTTTGGAGTTACATATATTGCCATTTGTTTATTAATCACCAAATTAATTGTGGAAAGAGAATATGGTTTCACGTTACTATTCATCAACCTAGTCTCCTTTAAAATCATGCACAATCATCGTTTGTTCTTATATCTATCTGTGGATCTGAAAATTATTCACTATTGATGTATCGATTGAAATTATATATAATTACCTGTATTCGATTGTTGCTCTTGCAAGATTCATACCGAGTAGTGGTGTTTTTAGGGTTTTCTTGGTGTCCTTCATTTGAAGTCGTTTCTCTAGATTTTTGAAGTTGTTTCTTTGGACTTGAAGTTTTAATTTGAAATTTGTTTATGTTGATGATTTATTGATGTTGTTAAGCTTTGTTGAGTATCTTGAGTATATAGTGATTTTGATTTTAGCGGGTATATGTAGGGATGTCAACGGGAGCAAACGGGACGGGGAATGCATCCCCTACCCCCACCCCCGAAATTTCCCCGTTCTCCCGTCCCTGCCCCCGCTTTCGAAATGTTTAGCCTTCTTACCCCCGCCCCGAATCCCCTTTATTACCCCTCACTCCGCCACCGATTGATTTTGGGTTGTTTTTTTTTTTTTTTTTTTTTTTTTTTTTTTTTTTTTTTTTTTTTTTTTTGCTAAAAGAAGTTGTTATTTAAGTTAAACCGATTGATTTTAGGTTGCTTTTTTTTTTTGCTAAAAGAAGTTGTTATTTAAGTTAAAGGAAGTTATTTTTTAAGTAACAAATAATTATTTATAACAAAATTTTATATGTTGAAAATAAAAAAGTTATGACATCTTAAAAACATGTTTTTGATGAATTTTGAAAGCTCGAAATCATGCTATTGTTCATTATATTTATATAATTAATATATGTAAATATATGTGTAATTTATTAACGGGGTTCCCATGGGGGTTTCGGGACGAGATTACCTACCACCGCCCTCGCTCCCGAAATTAAAACGGGGGTTAACCTGGCTCCGCCCCCATCCCTACCCCCGATATTTTTGAAAATCTCCCCAAACGGGATGGGGCCGCCACGGGAACGGGGTCTCACGGGATTTTTTGACATCCCTAGGTATATGATGTTTTCGATGATGATAATGTTTATGGTGTGGGTTTGAGGAAAAATCGCTCAAATGGATTAATTGTCAAATGTGTTATCTTTTTTTGTTTTTGAATAAATGGAGGCTTTCAGAATTTGTATGATATTCAAACGAATTTTGTTTTCTATGGTTTTTGTGTTTGGTATTTCGATTCAAGGAGAAGATGATTATTGGTGTTTTTGAAATTGGATTTATTGACACTTGACAATGGATTTTTGAATTTGGTTCTTTGAAGAAAAAATTTTCGATGATGCTCTTTTGATTTGATAGAGTTTTGTCTTGTGGATGATAGCAGTCCGTGGTGTTTTTTTTTTATGTTGAGAGATGAAGAGGGGGAGAGGTATATGGAGATAAGGGTATTTTAGATATTTCATATTTTGTATTTTATATAAAGAGTAAAAAAATAACCCTAACCCTAATCCATCCTGGTGATTTTGGATATGTTTTAGTGTTTTAGTGGCTAGAGAAGAAGAAGAAGAGGTTCTAGAGTGTTGGTTCAGCAAGGAGGCTTCATCATCATCACTTTGTGCACATTTTGGACCAATGTAAGTGTCCAAGATCCAATCTTTATGAGCTCAAATTGCTAGATCTAAATTCTAAGCTCCTCTTTGCATGTTTATGTGTGATAGCATGCTTGGGATCCATAAAGTTGGCAACTTTATGGATAAATGAGTCATTCTCTATGATTTAATCATATGGATATGAAGTATGGTTGTAATTTATGAATCTTGTTTGAGTTTGGGGTCATTTCTTGTCATTTTGACATGAGATAGGTTTAGGACAAGCTTGGGGCATACATGTCCATCAAGTAATTGTTTTTGTTGGACTTTGGAGTCCTTTTTATCTTCTGGATGAAGTAGGATTGAAGGCTTAATGGATTAAGGACTTAAAGGTTTGATTTTTAGCCTCAGGCTTCTTTCACGACGTGAGACACAAGACCTCACAACGTGAGAAGCGTTTGGTCCTGTTTCCGGTCATCTGTTTGGGGCTCATGACGTGAGAAAGGCTTCTCACAACGTGAGGGCAGCCTCGTTGACTTTCCCTTGGCTGAGTTGGCTAGTTTGAGTCATGATGAGTTGGGATCTGATTAAGTGAGTTCTCACGACGTGACCAAGGCTAGTCACGACGTGAGATGTGGTTTTTGGTCCCTAGTTTTTTGTTTGTGTGCCTTTTTGGTGCTTGGGCCCTTTTGGAGCTTTGGGAATCTTTTAGGAAGTTGGGCCATTATGGGCTTTTGATGTTATTGGTGGGCCTCGAATTTTGGGTCATAATGGCTTTGGATCCTATGTTCTCTGGAGCTGTTTACAAGAACACTTACAAGTATCCAATGTATGGGATGAATGGTAGCAATATGTGGTCATGCACTGATTTCATACCACCACTGCCATATTTGAGGAGAAAAATTTCAGACAGAACAAAAGTTAATAAATGGAAGGACCCAAGTGAAAAGAGTACTACACACATTGTGTCAAAGGTAGAGAAGAAAATTATATGCAGTGTCTGCAAACAAGTTAGTCACAACAAGGTTACATGTCCTCAAGTTGAGAAACCCAAAAAAGCTGATAAGCCCAAAAACTCAGAGTGAAGAGAAAGATATCAAGTAGTAAAGATGTTAAAAGGGGGGGGGGGGGGGAGGGGGGGACGGGTGGAGGAAGTAGTGGTGTAAAATCATATGAAGTTGCAGGAGCTGAAGAGAAAGCAAAAACAAGGGGTACGTAGAAAAGGAAGCTTTATTTGAGGATTAACAAGAAAAAATTGGCTAAAAGGGTTGAAGGGAAAAATGGAGAAGGCAATTCAGGTGAACATCCAATGGATATTGATTAAGGAAAACTGGTTGTATGATGTTTGATTTAAGTTTTCTTGTTAGACTACTATGTTGGTTGGGTTTAACTTTGATGAATGTTATGAACGAAACTTGGTTGTTAGACTAATATGTTTGTTGTCATTTGCATATATGAATGTAATGGACGTGCATGGTTATATGAAGCATATTATATGTTATTGTATTATAATGTGTTCCCATTACTAGTAGAATTGTTGTATGTTGTATATTATTGTATTTGTATGTGGGGGCAATTGTTTTATATTGTAAGTTACATGTTGGATCTTATTATATGGACACTTATATCACAAAGATAAACAATTGTATATGTAATGTACACACAACACAATATCATTTTCATTAAACAAAAAAAGGATTTCAAATCCAATACATATACATTGCTAAACATAACATGAAACGTGAAATTACAATGCTAAACATAACAAGAAAAATCCATTATACATCCATTACAACTTATAGACTAATATGATAAAGAAAACAACCCAACTTAGAAATAACCAAATTTTCAGCTTCTTAACATCCGACTAAAGCTTCTTATTTAACCAAAGTTGTAAACAATTGTTCATCACCACTTGAGTTCGTAGTCTCCACTCCGTCTGCCCGATATATAAACCCATCATGAGGACCCTAAAAATAAAAGTTTTAGGAGTATGTTACCAAGTGGTGATGAACAATTGTTTACAACTTTGGTTAAATAAGAAGTTGGGTCACTTGAAAGGAAACAATAAGAAGAGAGCAAATAAAGGTAAAAAAATGTCCACATCTGTGTCTCAAATCTGTATATACTCGAGGGTAAACTATGAACGGATGAAATTACCCCCCTCTTTGGCACTAACTAACAATACCGATTAGACTTATTGTCTGTAACAACCCATTCTTTCGAGTCAATAAAAATCAATGAAATTCACACTAGTTCAATCAAAGCTTACACTAGATCAAACAAAGAGTTTCACTTATTCATACCTAAGCCTACTACTTAGCTTAAATCACAATATATATCTTAATATATTTGTGGTTTTATTTCAAAGAATTTTAAATGAAAGCCAATACCGAAAACCCTAACCTAGCACAAGTGAACCTACATTGCACTCCTTATTGCATTGTGTCCTCTATAACCCTTAGGGCTTGTTTATAACTTAGTAATTAAGCTTAGATTGAAAGCTAAGTTAATTTAGGCTAGTATAATTCAAGTGTTGACAAAAGGATAAGGTTTAAAACATAAATAAACACTCTAAATTAGTGTTTTCGGTCATAGAAATCAATTACATGGTGAATTCGGTCATGGAATCAAACCAAGTTAAGGAAATCGGTTTTTGGAATCTTTTCCAATTGAGTTTTCGGCCATATCATTTAACAAGAGAATTCGGTCTATGTATGACCGAATTCACAAGGGAAATGACCTATTAAGACCGAACACACACATGGTCCAGCCCATTAAGGCCAAATTCTCACCCCTATATATTTATGTTCAGCCGAATTCAACCACATTTCCCTACTTCTCACACCGAACTCTTGCCAAATTTTCTCTCAAAAGTCATAAGAATTTTTCCTAGTATCTTCATATCTTCATAAGATTCATCAAGAACATTCATCCCATATTCAAATCTTCATAACATTCTTCAAATCTTCAAGCAACCCCTCAAGAACACACCAAAAACACCCCCATTCCCCACCAAAAACCCATTTTCCCACCGAAATCACACTTCAACATTTCCAATTATTCCAAATTAATTTTGTAAGTATTATTTACATAATTAATTATTTAACTCACTGTTTGAATTAATTTATTATTAATTTAAACACGACGAAGAATGCAATTATTTTTAGGGTGACGTTATTAGCGTGTACGCTTACCTGAGAATTATCTCTACAACTCGCTAGTTCCGTTTAACGTACATTTGAGGTGAGTTCATATCCTTACATTTTCAATGTTTTAATATTTTTAAGGGGTGGGGGGGGGGGGGGGGGGGGATTCAAGTAAAACACAAGGATTTTTGTGTTTATACAAACATTTTCAAATAGTTTTAAAACCTTTGCAATTGCCATAAAACGAGTCTTTACTACATTTCCTAAAAATATTTCGTATATTTTTAACCTTTTTGTATTATGTTGCGCATAAGGGTATTAGTCTTCATACAATTAAAATTGCAAGTGTTTTTTCATTTCATTACGAATCACTACAATTAAACTGTAATTGGTATAGTTTGGGAATCCTACACTATTTTGCCAAGTACGATACATAGAACA